TTCTCACTGTTGTCACAAAAAAAAAAAAAAAATCAGAAATAGAACTTGTCCAGTACTTATCATACAGAAGTATTCAAATGAATGAGTTAGCATGTCATTAAAATTTACAAAAATTGAGGAACCACAATTTCTAGCACAGAAGTAATACTCTAATTGGAAATTATGGGCAAACTAGGAATTATCAAAAACAACTAGACACAGTATGATTTGTCTTACTTTTCACTCTGCTTGTGAATATATTTGAAAATTTGTATAAATCAATCCAAAAATGTTACTGCTAAAATGTGTTACTGAGCATAGCTGGAAATATGGTGACCGGTCAACATAAAACTTATACCACCATTCAACCTATGCATAAAGAAGATAAGCAGAGAACTATTGTCATTTCCCCCATTCCTTCTTTTTGGTAAACAAGTCTTTTATCTATTGACATATAATCCAATATATGTATCAATGAGTGTGTATATGGAAGAACATATTTGTCCGATACCTACTATATGTGTCCTTTAAGTGTATTTATGTCATTAAATTTCACTCCACAAGAATCATGACAAGTAGCTTACTCTTATTCCCATTTTACAGATAAGAAAATACAAGGACAAAAAGGTGAAAGTTGCTCACTATTGCAGAGACACTAAAAGATGAAAGCCACAGCTCAAGCCTTTTTCAACACAGCGCTCTGGAATGAGCTGAATTTTCAGACTCTGTTGTCAGTGACTGCCAGTACACTCTGTGCTCTTTTTATGACTTTAATTTTCTTTCCAGGACCTTTCCATCTTAACCAGATTCCGCTACCAAGGACAAACTACAAAATGTATGTATGAGAACAGTAAACGACATAAAAATATATTTTTGCCATGGTGCAGTCTTCCCCAATAAAAATTTAACAATGTAATAACCAAATATATGGTCTATAAAAGTATTTTTATAGAAAACTTTTCTCAGCCCCACTTCACTGCTCTCACACTGTGTCAAGATTCAAACACATTAACCACCGTAACAATGCTTTCATTTATTGTCCCACCTACCTTCCCTTGATCTTTACAGCTGGAACATAGAGCAGGTTATCACCCTTAATTACTTGAGCACCCAACTCAGAAAGGGTACCTTCAGATTTGCCATCAATATGGAACTTGAAAACATTCTCCCTGACCCATACTTTTCCTGCTGCCTTATGCTGAAAACCTCTGCTTTTCTGTTCCCACTCGAAAGCAAAATTACTGTTAATGGAGTAAATATCCATACCTGCCATAATCAAGTAAGTTGCAACAATATTGTGTTCAGTCTGTGAAAAGACCGAGCCATCTTCATTTTTAGAGCCTGAACTGTTGCCTAAATTATTCTGTAGCATTCTGGAAGGAGGATACTGAGAAAGCCTTCGTAGTAAGACTTCAATTAGTATAAAATGTTATAAATGCCACTGAAGAATTTTCAGAACCAATCATTTCCACTTCAAGATCTCAAAGAATAGCCTTTTCATAAGGGCCCTCCCTTAACAAACGTGATTGGGCTAAAGAGGAAAGAATTCCCAGAGCAAGGGAAAAGCTTATTAGCAAAATAGAGAGAAATACCAAACCACACATTTTAACCAATCTGGACATCAGCCTTATATATCTTAAGGAGATTATCAAGAGTGAACATCCCACTTAAACAATAAACAAACTCAGAAAATCAGTGCAGGAGCTGATTTACGTGTTCTCTGCAGGAAATCAGTTCTGAAATTAAGAGCCAGACTTAGTTCTCTAAAACTATTAATATTTAAAGTCCCTGTTTTTGGTTTAAAGTTTTTCTGTAGCAACTTAATAGAAACAAATAAAGAAGTAATCTCCCCACATCCTTCCAAATCTCATGCCCCTGAAGGTAATATTGTTTGGTTTATATCCTTTCTGGTTTACTTTGCTTATACAAACGTATGTTTATACAAGGGTTTGAGGTTTCTCTCACTTCCTTTTGAGCAAAAATGGGGAGATATGTACATATAAAATCATTCTGTAACATTTTCCTCTAAAGCCGTATCATAAATCCAGGTCTATAAACCTATTAGTAGCTATATATTTCATAGCATTGATATAGTATGATCTACCTCACAAGCCACCTCAGTTAATTCACTCTATACTTTAATATGAACAAGTAATTATCTGACAATAATAATCACAGCATGTATCAGTCAAGTATCCTGATTCAATCATTCATCTTATAAAGTACAGAGCAACTCTGATATTCTGTACTACCTTGCTCTAACTCAAAAAGTAGGTTACAATCTAACATGAGCATTTATTGTTAGACTGAGCTATCCTCAACACCATTTTCTCCATATTTTTATGACACGTAATACTACTAAATGATTGTTCTCAACAATGAATTTCTTAAAGAAACTTTAGAAAAATCCTAGATGTTTGCAGCATTATTTACAATTGCCAAGATATGGAAGCGGCCCAAGTGTCCATCAGCACATGAGTGGATAAAACTATGGGACACTTACACAACAGACTACCACTTGGCCATAAAAAAGACAATCTTACCCTTTGCAACAGCATGGATGGACCTGGGGAACATTATGCTAAGTGAAGTAAGCCAGTCAGAGAAAGACAAATACCATAAGATTTCACTTATTTGTGCAATCTAGTGAACAAATGAACTAACAAGCAACACAGAGACAGACTCATAGTTGGAGGGCAGGATGACAGTAAAGGGGGGTGGGGGAGATTAAGGGATGGAGGGATTGAGCAGAGGAAAAAGTACTCGAGGACATGGACAACAGTGTGGTGACTGGCGGGGGAAGGCTAAATGGAAACGGGGGGAAAATGCAATAAAGATTAAATTTTAAAAAATATGCTAGATGCACCCAAGTGAACAGTGTCAGCATGATGACCACTAGAGGGCTATATTTCCTCATTTAATTTAATCTTGTCTGCCTCTGAATAGCAAAGCAGGAAGGGACCCAAGATCATCTTTTTGCCTCAATTCTCAGCCATTTATAAACTGAAGCAGATGAACTAGGTTGAGTGACCCGTCCCAGATCTTACAGCAACCAGAACTCAAATTTTTAATTAATGTAAATAGTTGAGAATATCAACACTAGCAAATTTGAACAGCATTCCAGTAACAAAATATTTTCAAACAACACTGAAATAATGGACATAAAATTTAAGTGAAAACTCTCCATTTTAAAACCCTTGTTGGGTTTTAAATCTTCACAAACAGTATGTAGAAAACACTAAAAAAATTTTTTTAGTATGTTTTGGCCTATAGTCCTTTCCTTTTCTGTGATGGATTATACCTAGCTGTTGCAACCACTTAAATTTCCCAGAAATTACTTCTATTTATAAACTGAATTCCAAAGATGACCACCTACCTGTTATAGATAAATATATTCAAAGTACTTTTTCATGTTTCCTTCCTAAGTGAAACAGAAAAGCTATATTGGGATGAGGTATAGAATACTAACAAATATAACTATTTCATATCAAAATGTTTACATAGCCCATAATTCTTTAATTTTACAAACTTCAATTGCCTAAAGTCAATCCTCATTTCATAACTCTTCCCAAATTTTCAGAAATATGAGGAGATATGGTTTATATTCCATTAAACTAATTGCTATGGCAACAAGTACATTTTAACATGATGCAATCAGCATGTTAACTCTAAAGGTTTAATGTTAATAATCATCAAAATATCTTTTACAATGCAGCTCAGTGATACCACAGTACCATATTCATTAATGTTCAGTTTCCTAAAATGTGAATTTGATTCAAAACTAAATACCCCAAAGGAAACCCAGAAGGAACTACAAAAGGAAGAAAAAAACTGTGAAAATAAAATACTAAAGATGGCCAATGACCAAATGATATACCTAAGAAAAAGGTGAAATCTCTAAGTGATTTGTCTACCAACATATACACTACGTCCATCACAGCCACTTTAAGACTTTTCTTTAAATGTAAAAAAAGTGGGGAAATGTTTCTATTTATCCTTGGGACGATGCCACGGCCTGTCTAGTGCTCACTATGTCCTTTATGAAGCAAGTATACAAACCCTGGCCCTAACTCTAAAAATTTCAACCCAACAATTGTAAATCAAATAGACTTCTTTCCCATGTTGTAAAACACAACTGCTTCTTCCTGTGAAAACAGTAATTTTCAACATATTTGTTCTTTATATATATTTACAGCCTATGTATTTACTAATACAGCCACAATTCCATTAATCAAAAAAGATGAGTAAAACCCACTATATTGACATACGCAATACTTATATTACTCCCAAGAGTATTAGGTTACTCTTGAGGAAAAATTGAGGAAAAAGATATGGCAACATCATTTTGAGAAACAAAATATAGGTTGGAGGTGAGGAGGGGGAAACCAGTGATGGGAAATCGTCCTGTACCACAAGTTAGTATTCTAACTTGCTCTCATGACTATTTCTTGATACAACACCAATAGGGTTAAAACCAATTCCATTTGTAATGTCTCTACGCAGGAATCTGGACGTGTAGCAGGAAATCAAATATCTGCTTACGTGAATAACATCTTAAATCTTTAGGATCCCATTAAAAAAAGTAAAATAAGAACAATCAGTACAATTTTCCACATTCAATCTATATTGAATGAGAAAAATTAAACTTTTCTTCAGGAATTTCTTGAACTTTAGTTCTCACTTTGAATAAAGCTGTTCTAACTTTAACAGAGTTGCAATCTATGCTAAAATTTTCTGACCAACTAATTATAATTAGAGAAACTGCTTTACTAACATACAAAAGGAAAATACAACAAAGAGTGCCGATTGTCTTGTATATAAAACACAAACAGTTTGGAAGGGGAATTACTTTATAAATAATGTTAAAGCTAGCCTAATTTTTACAGATCAATTATATATGTAAACAAATCATTTTCTCTACATGAAAAACACTGGGTTTAAGCTTCAGTTGTTCATTTTAACTTCAAAAATAGCTCTGGTTTAATAAACACAGCTCTAAATAACTTAAAGGAATAGAAGAGTTTATTGTAAAAATTCAAATATGCTTCATATGAAAACTGTCCATTTATTAAGCAACCACAACTCCAAGCATAATACAAAACATTAAGATACTTGTTGAGACTCCTTCAGAGCGTAAGTGTCTATTCTGTTGCACTCATGTTTAAATGACATTGACATCCAAATGCCACTGTTATATAAATCCCCAGGACTTCAAGACTTGCTCAAGAAACAAATTTCTGATCCTCAGAAGTAGGCCATGCAGGTTAATGCAGAAATCAACTGGTAAAGTGCCTCTGTCAACTGTCGCACTTAATGTCCTCTCCCTGATTAAAAGAAAACAAAAGTATTATAGGTATAGAAATGAATTTTTAATACTACCATCACCCAAATCTCAAGTTTAAAATCAGCATTAGTTCTTGTAATGTTTAGTGAACCTACTTTACCAAATTTAACTTGTCATTCACATTACACCTTTTTATTTTTTCAATTACAAATACAGCAAAACAAACTAGAAGGTGAAAAAATCCAAAGGGATAAATAAAGCAAGAAAGAGCAAAATGAAATGAAGCTATAAATTAGGATAAAGCAAAAAACACCATGGTGGTATCTAGATTTGCTGGCAAACAGAAGTAAAACTACATAAAAATTTTAAAATGGTAGACAAGAGCGACTCTAGAAATTCAGTCATTTAAAGATTTTTCACTTACCTCTGAAACCACCACTTCCCCCTCTTCCTCCTCTGAAGCCTCCGCCTCTACCGCCTCCTCTTCCACCTCTAAAACCACCTAAAAATAAAGGACACATTTATTAAATAACTGCAGCTTTTCACATTTGATAAGCCTCTAAATACCAATATAATTCTTACAATTACAGAGAAAAACAGATTCACAAATATACCTTATAGAATTTTTTAAAAGATCAAAATGGGGGGAAAAACCCAGAAGTTTCCCATCTAAGTAGCAGGCTAAAACCTTAGATTATAACTTTTTTTAAACAAATATGTTTTGTTTTGTTTTCTTACACTACTAGGATAGAGTGGGCCACCTCAGTAGTTTTGAGGTTAATACATTTCTATCACCATAGTTATTCTAGCAAACCTGGTTCTCCTCACTTCTGTAACAAGTATTTCGTTTTAATGAATTAGAAAAATTTGTTAGTATAAAGTTGGATTTAGCCCTATTTTAAATGTATGAGCATCTTAACTTTTGGTTATGGTAAACACTTTTTTGATTGAACAAAGGCTTTTTATCATAAGAACAAAGGGAGGCAAATAATGAGTGGTTTTCATCTAAGCATGCTACAATAAAGACATCCTTTAAGATTAACTAAGCTGTATATAGACTATCACTGATATTCACATGTTGATGAGCCTTGAAATTTTAAATATGTATAGCAGTTTTCTATTATCCAACACATACTGGCTTCCTATTTCATTCTTCTTTTCTACTTGTTTGGGGGATTACTTTGTAAGAAATAATGAATTAAAAAAATAATTATAGGAAGCCCTAGCCACAACAATCAGACAAGAAAAAAAAAAAAAGGCATCCAAATTGGAAAGGAAGAAGTAAAACTGTCATTGTTTGCCGATGACTTTATATGGAGAGAAGTCTAAAGAGTCTACCAAAAAACTATTAAAACTGTTAAATGAACTCAGTAAAGTAGCAGGATACAAAACTAATGTTCAGAAATCAGCTGCATTTTTATACCAGTAATAAACTGTAAGAGAAAATAAAGCAAGCTCATTTACAATTGGATCAAAAAAAATACTTAGGAATAAATTTAACCAAGGTAAAAGACTTATATTTAAAAAATGTTAAAGAAGAAGACTGAAAAAGATACAAATAAATGGAAGCATATACCATGCTCATGGATAGGAAAAATTAACATTGTTAAAATCTCCACACTACCCAAATCAATCTGTAGATGCCATGCAATCCCTGTCAAAATACCAATGGCATTTTTCACAAAACTAGAACAAATGATCCTTAAATTTATATCGATCAACGAAAGACCTTGTATAGGCACAGACATCTTGAGAAAGAAGAGCAAAGCTGGAGGTATACGCTCCATGATATCAAACTATGCTACAAGGTTATAGTAATCAAAACAGCATGATACTGGCATAAAAACAGACACAACAATCAATGCAGAATACAGAATAGAAAGCCCAGAGATAAATCTACATCTCTCTGGTCAATTCATCTGTGACAAAGAGGCAAAAATATACAATGCAGAAAAAAGAAAATCTATTCAATAAATGGTACTGGGGAAAGTGGACAGATACATGCAAAAAAAAAAAATGAAATTAGACCACCTTTTCATGCCACATACAACAATAAACTCAAAACCTGATACCACAGAAACGTCTAGAAAACATAGGCAGTAAACTCTCTGACACTGCTCTTAGTAATATTTTTTTCTGCTATGCCTCCTGAAGTAAGGCAAACAAAAGAAAAAATAAACAAATGGGACTATATCAAAATAACAGATTCATCAAGAAAAAAGAGAGGATGCAAACAAAATCAGAAATGAAAGAGCAAAAGTAACAATGGATACCACAGAAATACAAAGGATTTTAAGAAATTACTATGAACTACAGGGTCCAGCACAAACACCACCTTTTTTTTAATTACAAAATCTTTTATTACAAAATCGAAAGCATGTAATTCTGTACGATAACAATATCATACTCAAGCATACCATATGACATTTTAGGTGAAATGTTCAAATTAAAACTATAAATTATTACACCCTATATAATTACCCTACCAACCACATTCAAGCAGGCCTTACTTCTGCTGGACCCTGCATATGGCAAGAAATTGGACAACCTGGGCAAAATGGATAAATTCCTATAAAAATACAATCTTCCAAGACTGAATCTGGAAGAAGAAGAAAACCTGAATATGCCAACAACTACTAGCGAAATGGAAGCAGTAATCAGAAAACTAGGCACACAAGTCTTGGACCAGATGGCTTCACAAGCGAATTTTACCAAGCATTCAAAGAAAAACTAATACCAATCCTTAACAAACTAGTCCAAAAATTCCAAGATGAGGCGTGACTCCCAAACTCTTTGTACAAGGCCAGTATAATCATAATCCCAAACCCAGGTAAAGACAAAACAAAGAAAGAAAACTACAGGGCAAAATCTCTGATGAAAATAGACATGAAAATTCCCAACAAAATACTAGCAAACCAGATCCAACAATACATTAAAAAGATCATACACCATGATCAAGTGGAATTTATTGCAAGGATGCAAATCAATAAATGTGACACATCACATAAACAAAATGAAAGACAAAATCATATGATCATATCAATAGATGCAAAAAAGCATTTGATAAAATCCAGCACCCACTTATGATCAAAACACTCAGCAAAATGGGAATAGAGGGAGCATACCTTAACATAATAAAGATCATGTATGAAAAATCTACTGCCAATATCATACTTATGGGCAAAAACTAAAAGTGTTTCCCTTAAGATCAGGAACAACACAAGTGTGTTTGCTCACCATTCTTATTCAACATAGTGCTGGAAGTCCCACACACAGCAATCAGACAATAAGAAGAAATAAAAGGCATCCAAATTGGAAAAGAGGAAATAAAACTATCATTATTTGCAGACAATATGATAGTGGTAAAAGAAAATCCTACATGCTCCACCAAAAATCTACTTGGCGTAATAAGTGAATTTGGCAAAATAGTGGGATACAAAGTCAATATTCAGAAATCAATGGTATTTTTGCACACCAACAATTAACTATCACAAAGAGAAACTAAGGAAAAGAAAATCCCATTTATTATAGCAACAAAAATAATAAAGTAGCCAAGAATAAATTTAACCAAGGAGGTTAAAACATCTGTACTCAGAAAACTACAGAACATTAAAGAAAGAAATTGAGGGAGATACAAATAGAAGCATAAACCCTGTTCATGGATGGGAAGAATTAAAATCATTAAAATGTCCATACTACCCAAAGCAATCTATAGATTCAATGCAATTCCTATTAAAATACCAATGGCATATTTCGCACATCTAGAATGAACACTTTGAAAATTTATATGGAACCAAAAAAGATCCTGAACAGCCACAGCAATCTTGAGAAAGAACAAAGTTGGAGAGATCACGATATCTGGTATCAAACTATACCACAAGGCCACTATAATCAAAAGTCTGGTACTGGCTTAAAAACACACACAGAGATCAATGGAACAGAACAGAGAGTCCAGAAATAAACCCATGCCTTTATGGTCAATTAATATTTGACAAAGGGAACACGAACATACGATGGAGTAAAAATAGCCTCTTCAATAAATGGTACTTAGGAGAACTGGACTGGTACATGCAAAATAATGAAACTAACCCACCAACTTACACGACACACCTAAATAAATTCAAAATGGATAAAAGACTAAATGTAAATCATGATATCATCAAAGTCCTAGAAGAAAATATAGGCAGTGAAATTTCAGATATCTCATGTAGCAATATTTTTTACGATACATCTCCTAGGGCAAGGGAAATAAAGGAAAAAATAAACAAATGGGACTACGTCATATTAAAAAGCTTTTATATGGCTGAGGACACTATCATCAAAATGAAAAGGGAACCAACTGTATGAGAGAACATATTTGCCAATGATACATCGGACAAGGGTTTAATCTCCAAAATACACAAAGAACTCACACAATTCAACACCAGGAAGACAAATAATCCAACTAAAAAATGGGCGAAAGGCCTGAATAGGCACTTCAAGGAGGACATACGGAGGGCCCACAGATACGTGAAAAAATGCTCAATATCGCTAGCCATTAGAGATGCACATTAAAACCATAATGAGATATGACCTCACATCTGTCAGAATGGCTATCAATAAATCAACAAACGAGTGCTGGCAAGGATGTGGAGAAAAGGGAACCCTAGTGCACAGCTGGTGGGAATGCAGACTGGTGCAGTCACTGTGGAAAACAGAATGGAATTTCCTCAAAAAATTAAAAATGGAGTTGCCTATTGACCCAGTGATTCCACTGTTGGGAATATATACTAAGAATCCCCAAACAACAATTCAAAAGAACTTATGTACCTCTATGTTTGCAGCAGTAGTATTTACGATAGCCAAGTGTTGGAAACAGCCTAACTGCCCATCAGTATGGTACATCTATACAATGGAATACTATGGAGCAAAAGAAGAAGTAATTCCTACCCTCTGCAACAACATGGATGGACTGAAGGCTATTATGCTAAGTGAAATAAGCAAGTGGGTGAAAGACAAATACCGTATGATCGCACTTGGAAGAGGAATCTAATGAACAAAATAAACTAATGAACAAAACTAGAGACATGGAAATAGGAAACAAGACTACCAGCTGCCAGAGGAAATGGGATAAGGAAGGAATGATGTCAAGACGGGGGAGGAAGTAGTCAAAAAACATGTATGAATGACCCATGGACATGGACAATGGTGTGCGGATGGACTGTGGGAGCAGGGGGCGGGGCAGGACAGAGAAGGGAAAAGGGGGAAAAATTGGGACAACTGTAATTGAGAAAACAAGAATAAAACATATTTTTAAAAAATTCAAAAAGTTTTTTGCACAGTAAAGGAAGTCACTAATAAAACGCAAAGACAACCCACTAAATGGGAGAACATATTCACAATGCGCCCAGGATGGGGGTTAATATCCAAAATTTATAAAGAACTTATGCAATTCAACACCAAAAGAAAAATTATATTTAAAAATGGGCAGAGGACCTAAACAGTCATTTGTCCAGAGAGGACAGATGGCTAATTGACATATGAAAAGATGCTCAATGTCACTAATCACTAAAGGAGTGCAAATTAAAACCACAATGAGGTTTTACCTCCCACCTGCCAGAATAGTTATCATCAATAAATCAAACAAGTTGGTGAGAATGTGGAGAAAAGGGAACCCTTGTGATTTGTTGGTGCAACTGCAAATAGGTGCAGCCACTGTGGAAAATCAGCCACTATGGAGGTTCTGCAAAAAATTAAAAGTAGAACTACCTTATGACCCAGCAATTCCACTTCTTGGTACTTATCTGAAGAAATCCAAAACACTAATTAGAAAAAATATGTGCATCCCTGTGTTTACTGCAGCATTACTAACAATAGCCAAGATATGGAAGCAACCTATGTGGCCATCAACAAATGATTGGATAAAGAAGATGTGATATATATACACAATGGACTATTACTCAGCCATAAAAAAAGAAAGAAATCATACCATTTCTGACAACATGGTTGGACCTAGACGGTATTATGCTAAGTGAAATGAGTCAGACAGAAAGACAAATACTATGATTTCACTCGTATGTGGAATCTGAAGAACAAAAAGAACAGAAACAGACTCACAGCTACAGAGAACAAACTGATGGTTGCCAGATAGCAGGGGATTGGGGACTGGGTGAAAAAGGTGAAGGGATTAAAAAGTACAAATTGGTAGTTAAAAAATAGTCACAGGGATGTAAAAGTACAGCATAGGGAAAATAGTCAATGATAACTGTCAGGTGGGTAGTAGACTTATCTGGGAATCATTTAGTAAATTATATAATTGTCTAACCACTATGCTGTAGAGCTGACACTAATGTAACATTGAACGCCAACTATAATTGGCAAATTAAAAAACAATTTTTTAAAAGAGAAAATATTAAAAGGAAAAACAAATACCTATTTCCAAATACTGGTATAAAAATATAAAGGTTTTTAAAAAATAGTTTTTTTTTTAATGTTGTATATGAGACTAAATATAAAATACAAACACGGGGATCTCTCTCCATCAAATACCCAAAGAGGCACTTCCAAAAATATTTTAAAAAGAAAATATGTCTGCTCTCTTAAGAAATTATCTCCTAGCTATCTAGACCCAAAAAGTACATTTATAGAGGGAAATAATAATTAAACTAAGAGCGGCAAAGATCTCTCTTCTGATCCAGTAACAGCAGCCTTCCAGCCCCATTTTCAGCTCCTCTCCCTTTGGCTCTGCCCATCCTCCAGTCATCCATCCACCACAACAGTCACAGAGCCAAGCAGACCCAACGCTGCACCGCACCTCATCCCCGGCCCTGCTCGTCATCTAGTTGTCCATAATCATGAGTGTACCAAAGCTTTGGGGAAATACATGCCAAAATACTGAATTCAAAGCAATTTACTGATAATGGTCTTTTACATGGCATAAGAAGATACAGATTTTATTTCTGAGCTGCCAACTGTTTGATTAGGATAAATTAACTTTTGTAAGCCTCCATTTCCTCACACAAAGAATAAGAATATCACCTCTCACAAGGTTTTGCTTAATATTAAAAGAATATACATAGCTATTAAGAGACTGTATGACCTGTTCCCAGCCTACAATCAACACTCAATGACAATTAAAATTCAGCTATGACAATCTTATACTTTTTAAAATTCCCAAAACATGAATAACTCAGAGATAAAAATCCCTCAAAATCATACTTTATTAGATTTTTTCTTTTTAAATACGTCATTGAAACTAAGCATTATTGCTATGCCAATTTGCCAAGATTTGAAGATAGCTTTAGTAAAAAAATAAATAAATAATAACTACATTAGGGAGACTTGCCTATATACAAAATTTAATAGTACAATATGAATTGGCTGCAACTTTGAAATCTCAGAAATTTTCTCCCCCAAGTAACTTACCACCTCTACCACCTCTGCCTCCTCCTCTTCCTCCTCCTCGACCGCCCCTGCCACCGCCTCTTGGAGGTCCCTTCTCACCTGGAGGTCGAGGTAAAAATCTCTGCAGTGGCAACAGCTTATATGGGTCTATATAAAACTGGAAGTATAATAGAAACAATTAGTGTAATGACTTGGGGGTGGTATAGTATAATCATTAAGAACCTACACCTAGACTCCAAAATGCTTGGGTTCAAATCTCAGCTTTACTCTATAGTACTGTATAGCCTTGAACAAGGACTTAGTTTCCTTGTGCCTTAGTTTTCTGATCTGTTAAAATCAAGATAATATAATATTGGGTTAGCCAAAGAGTTCATTTGGTTTCTTCCATAAGATAGCTCTAGTAGCATTTAGTTGTCTTTTTCATTCGAAACAATTTTATTAAATTGTATTGTGACTGCTGTCATATCAGCATGCATTTTTAAAAAAAAAATCAAAATTGGAGAACTTTTGTATAGTCATTTTAATACTGACGATGGAAGAAAATAAGCAACATTTTCAGCATATTATACTTGAGTAATTCAAGAAGTGTAAAACACAACTGAAACGCAAAACAAGGTTTGTACAGACTATGGAGAAGGTGTTACGGCTGACTGAATGTTGTCAAAATGGTTTACAAAGTTTCGGGCTGGAGATTTCTAGCTGGCCAATGCTTGATGGTTGAGTAGACCAGCTGAATTTGATTGTGGTCAGATCAAGACATTGAGAACAATCAATGTTATATCACGTGGGATAGTCGACATCTCAAAATATCCAAGTCAATAAATTACTGGTGGTTATAGCAGAACCAAGATGGCAGAGGAGTGAGTGAAAGTCACACTGACCTCCTCCCAGGACCCATCTGGAATTACAACTAAATTGAGGAGAAATTATCTGGAACAAACAACTGAACAATAGCGAGAGAGGAGCCTTGTAACCTCAGACAGACAGAAGAATCAGCTTTAGCACAACCTACCTGGTAAGGAGTGTGGTACAGACTCAAGAGGGTGGGCGGGTCGCCCACGGGCAGCAGTACCAGGGGGATATTGAAAGGGCCAGTTGGATCCCCTAAAAAGAGTAGCGTCTAAACCAAAGGCGGGGATCTCCACCCCATAGCACCAGAGCTCAAAAACTACACAGAGAACAGCCAGCTGCGGCAGAGTCACTCTCTGCCAGAGACAGGCGGCTGGAGAGGCAAAGGGTTGTTTAAAGGGTCAACACATACATTTTTATTTGCATCCACTTACCCTGGTCTACGTCAAAGGCAGGGGCAGAGTGGGCTAGAGATGCCTGAGGAGAGCCTGGGGAAGGAGGCTTTGGGGAGAGAACTGAGAGTAGCCGACGGGATCCCGGTGCTGAATCATCCCCATACAGCAGCAGCCATCTTGCTCAGGCAGACCAAGCCCCTGGGTGACAACAGCATGAGAGGATACAACAGCCCTGCTCCCAGGAGGCTCTCCCCTGGCCTGGTGGTGCTAAAGCCTGACTGCTGTGTACAGAGTGGCAGCCACAGATAGTAGATCCCTGGCTAAAGGGGGCGCAGAGTGGTCTGGAGACACTTGAGGAGGACTAGGGAAGGAGATTTGGGGAAAGAACACAGAGAGTGGCTGGCAAGGTCCGGGCGCTGACTCCTCCCACATACGGCAGCAGGCATCTTGCTCAGGCAGAGACCACTCCCCTGAGAGGCATCAGAATGAGAGGACTCAATAACCCTGGCACCAGGAGGGACTCCACCCTGCCCTGAGCTGTCTAAGCTGGCGTGCTGAATGCAGAGAGACTAGATTAACAGCTGAAGGAGACAGCCACAGACAGCAGATTCCTGGAAGTCTCAAACAGACTGCCTAAGGTCACACACGGACAACATCTGACTTCATCAGAGGCAGATCCAGAAAGAAAAAACTGGTCTCCCACCATAGAAGTTCACACGACAAAGTCAGGAAATCAAGACAGATCAATTTAAGAAGCAGAAGCAAAAAAGAAGTCTCACAATGGGAAGACAAAGAAATACCCCCCAATCAAACAGGAAGGAGGAATCCCCAGAAAGAGAATTAAATGAAATAGAGGCAAGTAAACTATCAGATACTGAGTTGAAAACAATGGTTCTAAGGAAGCTCAATGAGCTCAGTGAACTCAGAGAGAACTACAAAAAACTACAGGGAAACTAGGAGGAACTTACTGCAAACTATATCAGCATGAAAAAACACACAGAAACTATCAATAAGACACAAGAGGAAATGAAGAATACAACTTCCAAATTGAAGAACACAGTAGAAGGAATCAAAAGCAAGCTAGATGAAGCCAAGGATCAAATCAGTGAGCTGGTGGACAAGGTAGAAAAAATCTCCCAGAAAGAGCAAGAAAATGAAAAAAGACTCAGAAAAGAATAAAGAGGCATTTAGGGAAATGCAGGACAACCTGAAATGTAGTTAATATCCGTATAATAGGGATCCAGAAGGAGAAGAGGGTGAAGAAGGGATAGAGAACCTGTCTAAAAAAGTAATGATGGAAAACATCCCTAACTTGAGGAGAGAGAAAGTCACACAAGTCCAGGAAGCACAGAGGGTCCCATTCAAGAGGAACCCAATGAGGCCCACTCCAAGACACATCATCATTAAAATGGCAAATATCAAAGACAGAGAATCCTAAAGACAGCAAGAAACAGGTAGTAACATATAAGGGAGCCCTGATATGGCTAGCAGCTGACTTCTCAACAGAAACACTGCAGGCCAGAAGGGAATGGCAAGAAATATTCCAAGTCATGAAAAGCAAAGGCCTGTGACCAAGACTGCTTTACCCAGCAAGGCTCTCAATTAAAATGGAAGGCAAAATAAGGAGTTTCCCAGACAAAAGGAGGCTAAAAGAATACACCTCCACCAAACCAGAAATCCAAAATATGCTAAAGGGATTGCTTTAAGATGAAGAAAAGGAGTCTACGAATACCCTGTTCCTTTCACAGTTGCCAATACTTGATATTACTGATATTTTTAATATGTATTAATCTGATTGAGACAATGATGTGTTGTTTTAATTGTTCCTTTATTATTTGTTGAAACTAAACCTGGTTTTGTATATTTCTTGCCTATCCCTATTATTTTTAAAAAGCTTTAATGGACTTTTTGGTGTTCTTTATCCATTTATTAATTAAAGGTTTGTAGAATTTTTCCCCCTAAAAAAAGAAAACAGCAACTATTAACCCTTCTGTAGATGTGCAGTAAATACTTTAACTTTTTTTATATGTATATTACTACATAGTCTTAAATGTTTAATATAGTCATATTGTCAATATTTTACTTTATAGCTTCTGGGCTTGAATATTTTACTTCAGGGTAAGAAGAATATTAGTTTGTATTTTCTCCTAAAACTCCTTAGATTCTACATATTGATTTTTAACTCACCTGAATATTTCTTATATAATATGTGAAACAGGGCTCTATATTTGTATTATTTCAAGTAATAGTGGTCCATGAACCTTATTTGTTGAATAAGCCTTATTTTACCCATAGATCTGAAATATCAATTGAATCACATATTATATTGTTAGAGAGATATATACGTTTGTTTCTAGAATGCTCATTTTATTTCATTGAACTACTTGATTATTTCTGTGCTGGTATCATGTTGTTTTAATCGCTGAGACTTTATAATGGTTTTAAATTTTTTAATATTTTATAATTGACTGACATTTAAAAAAAATAAAATCAATCTGCATGGAAAAAAGAAAAGAAAAAGAGAGAGAGAGAGAGAGAGAAAGAAAGAAAGAAAAAGAAAGAAAGAAAGAGAAAGAAAGAAAGAAAGAAAGAAAGAAAGAAAGAAAGAAAGAAAGAAAGAAAGAAAGAGAAAGAAAGAAAGAAAGAAAGAAAGAAAGAAAGAAAGAAAGAAAGAAAGAAAGAAAGAAAGAAAGAAAGGGAGGGAGGGAGGGAGGGAGGGAGGGAGGAAGAAACTCACTCCTACCTTTTGCAACAACATGGATGGAACTGGAGAATATTGTGCTAAGTGACATAAGCCAGTCAGTGAAAGACAAATACCATATGATCTCACCTATAAGTGGAGTCTATTCAACAAAATAAACTAACGAACAAAATAAACCACAGGCATGGAAACATGGAGCAGACTGAAAGTGACCAGAGGGGATGGGGAAAGAGGACAATGGTGGAAAGAAGGGGAAGGGACTAGACAAAGAACATGCATGAATGACCCACGGACATGGACAACAGAGTGGGAACTGACTGTGGGAGCGGGGTGTGGGGTTGGGATGGGTGGAGGAGGGCAAAGGGGGAAAAACTGAGATAACTGTAATAGAATAGACATGACTTAAAAATTTAAAAAATAAAAAAATAAAATAAAATAAGGAAATAAATTATTGGTGACAATGAAATATGAGTCTTTTATTTAATGTAAGAAACTAAACAAACTTTTTGGCCAAACCAATACCTACCTCACATAACCCTTGTGAGGATCAAAGAGTAATGTACATGGCACTTAAACTTTGGCACATAATAAGCATAACATGCATATAAATAGAAACCAAGACCAATTCAGTCTTATTTCTCCTTAGAAATAGATAATACCTTGCAAAAATAAACTATGTTTTAACTCAACACAATTCCTGTAAGGCAAATGAAACTTAAATATTTAGCATTAAAATCCAAAATATATATAAAACATATCTAGTATGTCTACTAGTTATTTCAAGACTTTAATAAATGGTCTGTAACATTTTACTGAATATATATTCAATGGAAGATCTGTAGAAACAAAATTCACCCTACGTTTAGAATTAAAAAATATTTTTTCACAATAATGAAATATAATGGAGTACATTTCACCATTTTACACAAAACACAGAGGGCTTCGAAACTCACTAGTAAAACAAAATGCGTGAATCCCTCTTTAGTTGTCACCTTAGCACTCTTCTTCCCTTCAGAACCCATCCTCTCAAAATCATCTACAGCTGCACTGTGCAATATAGCAACCACTAGCCACATGTGGCTATTTAGATTTAAGTTAGTTAACAATTAAAAATTCAGTTCCTGAATCGCATGCCATATTTCAGGTGCTCAAAAACTACAAATGGCTGGTGGCTACTATACTGTAGGAATTTCCATCATGACTAGACAGCATTGGTCTAGAGACCATTATAACAACATAGGCTGGGTAAGGAGGGCTTGAACCTAAACAGTGAATCTAAAAATGGGGAGAGGTAAAATGTGCTAATTTAGCATCTGTGATTAAAAAACAAAACACAACAAAACACTAAATAAGTCCTCAAATAAATAACACTGTGAGGAAAGGCAGATATCCAGATCAAATTTAAATGGCTATTACAGGCAAACTCTTTTTTTCAAATGAGGAGCCCGGTTCTTAGGCCCACACAAAGCAGTGCAACTTCCCAGTGCATATGTCATGGTTTCCACAGCCAGAAGCAACAAGGCATTGTCCCCATCTCGCATCCTATTCCAAGCTGACTTCTGGTCCCACCACTCCATTGGCTCCATGACTTGTTGACCTCCATGCTGCTATTCCCAATGAATGCTTTGCAACAGCATTTTGTCATACCGACCACTTCCTCTGGGACACATTTTGTCCTCTTGACTTTTGTGTACCACTTTTATAAAACTCTCCTGGTTTGCTTTCTCTTCCCTTGGCAGATACTTCTCAGTCTCATCTCATAAATATATAAATTTAGGAGGTGCCCAAAAGCTTTTTCTCAGTCTTTTGTCCTAGACTACATCATACACTGCCTGTATAATGACAACGTCCCAATTCTACCTCCAGTCCATTCTTCCTTTCAGCACCTATGTGACTATCTCACAAATGCTTCAAACTCATTATTGTCCAAAACTGAACTCATTCTCTTCTCCCAATTCCCTTCTCCAGTGTTGCCATTTCAGTGACTGGTGATACCATCCTCAAAGGTGTTGAAATCAGACATCTGAAAGACGGTAGCATTTTTTACTTTAATTTCAAGAGCTCATCAATTACCAAGACCTATAAATTCTACTTCCTCTCTCTCATAAATCCATCTGTTTTTCTCCATTTCCACGGTCACTGCTCTAGTCCAAAATATCTCCTCTAGAACTAATGTAGCAGCCTCCAACCTGGTCCCTTCACGTAGAGTACTGACCCCTTCCCAGGGTCCTTTTACTTTTCCTGTTCCCTTAGGTATAAATTTAACCATATTTTTCCTAATATTTAAAAACAAAACTAATACTGAAGTCTAAATTCTTTCCCATGACCCGAAGACCTTAAGTAATCCAGCCCCTGCCTACTCCTAGTCTTAATTCACGACTTTCTCTCATTCCTAAATGTTCTACGTCCAAGCTACACCTCTGCCTTTTTCAGATCCTTCAAGTGGCTTACTGCCTCAGACTTGCACATACTGTTTTCTGTACTTGTAATGCACTTCCTTCTCCTCTTTGACTGGTGCAGCCTAACTACATCAGAGTTATCTAGGAGCCTTCCTTTTTACAACTGAGTCCTGACCCCTACCTAAGACACTCAAGTCAAATTTCTAGGTGTGCAACCCAGAAAGACATCTTCTTGAAAGCACTCCCAGATAATTATGACATGAAGTGGGGTTCAGCAATAACTGCTAGTCAACTTTCAGGTCCCAGCTTCAAGCTCACTTCCTCAGAAAACCAATACACTAAATTTAGTCCCACTACTAACATTTTGATAACTACCTGTATTTCTCTTGCACAGCCTATACACGAATGTTGTTGAAGTATTTGTGAAATCATTCAATATTTGACTTCTCCCAAATAAAATGAGTTTTATAATTTAATGTTTTACTTAGAACGTTTGGTCATGCAAGGCTTCTCAATAAGTTTTACATAAACTAAAAAACATACTCTAGCAGTTACAGAATTTGCTAATATGAACAAGGAATACTTCCTGAAAGCCTGTATTAAATAAATTACTTTTCCAGATAAGTTAGCTCAATGTCTGAAGGACAGAATATGTCAATTTAAGTGCTTCACTGGTGATATATTGAGGGAGTCCCGAAGTGCCCGAAGCAGGACTGCTCTGCGGTAGGTCATTCCCTTATAAAACCAAGAATCCTATGTATCATGAGCTTGACTCACCTTCTGTAGTTTTTTAAAGGATGATGCCTTCATGTTTTCTGACAATTTAACTGAAAAATACTATTAATTTTATTAAGGAAAAAGCAATTAAGATTTTTTAAAAAAGGTAACCATCTGAATTCATGTGTAACTTTAAAAACAAGGTTAGAATATATGGAAATGTTTAGGAAAAATAAGAAGTGAGTTTCCCAGAAGGAATTAATATTTTGTTTTAAATCCTCCAGTCCCACCATACTATTCCAGTGGCACCATCATAGCCAAAGCAAAGTACCTCTATCCTGCAAACTTTCCCAAAAGGACAACCTATCTTTATAATACAGGGTTGGGCAAAAGTAGTTTACAGTTTTGAGTATGCAAAACAGTATTCTTATTTTCTTATCATTATATTTTCCATATAAACTGTAAACCTACTTTTGTCCACCCCTGTATATATGGAAATACATTCTCTTCTTTTGATTCTCCTTTATGGTCCAATGTTAGCAATACTGTCATGAAGCAACAAGTTTAATTAATGCTTAGCTCCAGAAAAAGCAAGTAATAACCTTTCAATGAGATTACTACATCTTCCAATTAAAAAGGATACAAAATCTCTAAGTTGTCCAAATATTTCATCCACTTTTCCGATTTGTTCTTTGTTTTCTAAATAAACTGGAGCATTAAAATAAGGCACCTTATTTTCATCTGTGGTACATTTACAAACTATGTCATCTTCACAGGGATGCAGGAACTCTCCTAGTACTGAAATAGGACAAGAAAACATTAAAATATAAAACAATTTCAAATGGTATGATCAACCTCTTCTGGAAGCTTTCTTCCTGGCTACCTGGGATTTCACCTTATCTGTTCTCCTGAGGAACAAAAGCCTTCAAGTTGCTATTCCTACCAATCCACAATATACTAGCTATGTGACATGGAGTAAGGGTCTCACTTTCTCTGCTTTAGTGTCCTCCTCTTTAATACAGGGCTAATAGTTACAACACCTAACATAGAGTATTGTGAATATTAAGTGTAATATTAAATGTCAAGTGCTTAGAAAAGTGCCTGGCACACAGAGACTGCTCAACCTATAACAGTGACTTTATTACATTAATTATTATTATTATTATTATTTGATTAAACACTATGCTGCATTTTAAAGTCTATTCTCCCTTCTCCCCAATCCCTAATGGGGAAATCAGTCTTGGTTGTTCCCGTCTTTTTTTCCTCCCCTTTTATTCCCTTCCATTACCATCTCTTCACCAAGGACTCTTCAGTCTTTTCCAGAAAAGTATGGAATCTCAAAATAACTACCTTCATTTCTAACGGACTGCCACCCCAAACTGAAATACTCACCACACTGCTGCAAAACCAACTATCTATCCCCATCACTCAGGCTCAAAATCTGGAACGTTTTTAACACTTCCCAGTACAGTATTAGTCAAGTTCTACCAAGTTTGTTTCCATTGAAATCCCTCTCCCATCTAACCCTTCTTCTCACTTCCACCACACTCTCCTTGTTTCCCTCATGCATGGACTTCTGACTCTAACCATTAGCCTCTTGAAACCATTCTGCATACTGATCAAACCTATTCTTTATGTTAGGCTGTGTTCATCTTTTCTCCTCTTTGATACATGCTTCTACTGTTAAATCTCTCCCTGGGCTGGTGTGGCTCAATGAATTGAGTGCTGACCTGGGAACCCAAGAGTTGTAGATTCAATACCCAGTGAGGGCACACGCCTGAGTTGTGGGCCTGATCCTGCTGGACGGTGCGTGAGAGGTAACCACACACCGATGCCTGTCTCCCTCTCTTTCTCCTTCCCTTCCCCTCTCTAAAAATAAATTTAAAAAATCTTTAAAAAAAAAAAACAAACAACAGAAACAAACCTCTGTCTCACTTCCCTTTACTTCCATCCCACCTCATTGATAATTACTCCAAAACTGCTCTAATTAGGTCTTTTTCTTGACTTCCCCTCTGCAGTTTCCCTTCCAAGCAATAATATTTTCTCAGTTCTCTTACTTATAAGCAAGATAAAGACTGGGCTTTGGAGTTAGAAAACTTGTTTTGTAACTCAAATATACCACTTACTGATTGATCCCTTATTCCTATCTATGACCTTAGCAAATAAACGTAACTGAGTCAGTTTTCTTATCTGTAAAATGGGAACAATAGAGGTAAGCATAAAATATTACCTATTTAATGTCTCCCTTTCAGCCCAAGCTCAAGTTCCACCTCCATGATGCACTCTAAGTGTCCTTCAGCTTCCTTAATCTCCCCCTTACACACTAGAGCATGATTATAAGTCAGTTTACAGTATCTCCACAGATTTCACTTCCCAACCAAGCAGTAACCTCCGTGTGAGTTGCTGGATCTAACTTACAGTACCTGACTCCCAGTCAAACTATTAATAATACAAACCCACAACCTACTCTCCCCAACCCCAAGTACGCTAAGCTTTGAAACCGACATACAAACTACATGTTCTGGAGGTCCTTGGTCTTGGCCTTTGTTAAAGCCTCCGCGGCCACCTCCACGTCCAAATCCTCCTCTGCCGCCGCCACCGCCTCTGAAATTACCGCCACCTCCACCTCGGAAGTGGTTGTTGCTGCCGCCGCCACGACCGAAGCCGCCACCTCCACCGCCTCGATTAAAGCCTCCACGACCTCGAAAAGACATGCTCGCTCCCACCTGGTGAGAAAAACAGTGCGTACCTCTCGGTCACTGTGGCCTCTGGGTACACCACCTCACCCCTCGAACCTCGGTCAGAACACCATAAAAGAGGACAATAACAGCAACTCTGCCACCAAACCCACGGCCAAGCCGTCAGCGACGAACCCGAAGGGTGAGGTGTGTCGTGGTCTCCCCACAGTCCTGTGAGCGCCGACCGATCCTCACCAACCTCGTCGCCCTCGATTAGTACCTCCTCCCCTAGCAGGTAGCAAGATCATCACGCCGCTGTCCGTCCCTCACCTCCACCCTCCCTCCCGCAGCTGGGTTCCGCCTCCAGCATTCCCTGGTCCTCCGGCTCCCTACCGCCACTCACAGGGTCCACGTGCACCTCTGGCCCGGGTGCGCACACCCACCCGCCCGCCCGGTACTTCCGCCGCACACGAGCCTCCTCGGCCACCGTACCGGAACAAAGTGGAGGGTGGACCCTCCAGAAACTCGAATAACTAGTTTACAAAAAAAAGAACATACAAACAAACGAAACTCACTGGCAGAACCAATGACACTGTCAATTTTCCAAAACAGCCTTCAGCGCTGGAAGAGTAGCGTAATATCTTACTTCTACCACCGATTTACGACAGACTTGCATACTGACGAGCCGAGGAAGTGACGTATAATAGCAGCGTCCGTTGCGTCATGGCGTTGCGGGAAGTGTTGCCTTGATGTTGCTCTGGGAGACGTTGGGGTTAGAGACCGCTTCCATCCCAGCGGCTCGGTAGGTCCCCAGCGATGATAGCTGCCTCGTTTGGTCCTTGCACTTCAGGCTGCGAGGTGATCTTCTGGCTCGTCCGTTTGTTGCCAGCTGTAACTCACGTTTTGGAGGAGCTCTGACCCGCACTCAGCTTAGAGGTGAATCTGGTCGCGTGGGAAACCAACGGCTTGTCTGCGTTCTTTCCAGTTGTCTTTCCCTCCCATGTCTTTTGAAGTACGCACGATTGTGGCTGAACTGTGGCCGTACTTTGGTTCTGTGGTTTCACTAAAAGAAAAAGATGCCTGTGTATTTTTAAAGAAATTTATCTGATAGAAAACCAAACTGTTTTTATCTTTTGTACTGGATAGTTTATTCGTTTGTCAAGTACGTTTTGAGCACCGCCAGGCTGTACACCATCTATGCTACAAGCGCTTCTCCCCATCTTTCTTTAAGCCTTTGATATCCTGATTTCAGTTTCCGCTAAAACTTACCGAAAGAGAGCTAGTGACTTATTTATTAACTTTGGTTTGTCTCTTTCACACCCGAATCTTTTGAGACGTTGCCTTGATATTTGACACAGTTGACTTCCACTAAACGAGGATGGGGGTTAGTACCTATTACAGTTATTTTGATTTTGAAAGAACTTTGTAGGCATCACTATGAAAATATTAGGATTCATATGACTTCCACATTAAAGTATACACTGCTTAAGAAAGCACCTAACAGTCCTACGTATAAGAGGAATTTTTTAATTAATTAATTAATTTTTTCAAATACATTTGTCTCTGCCTTCCCCCCACCACTTTCCCTTGCCCCCTCCCTCAACTCTTCCCCTTTGGTTTTGTCCATGAGTCCTTGCTGTATGTTCCTTGACTTTCCCACTTCCCATCCTTTTCCCCCGCCTCCCCCCTTCTTCCCTCTTGTCTCTGTTGGTTTTCTTTTTCAGTGTTGCTGGTCTTATTTTCCTCGCATCTTTGTATTGTTGGTTAGGTTCCCCTTATAGGTGAGATCATATGGTATTTGTCTCTCGCCCCCTGGCTTATTTCGCGTAGCATAATGCTCTCGAGTTCCATCCATGCTGTCGCGAAGTTTAGTACTTTTTTCCTTTCTGCTGCATAGTATTCCATTGTGTAAATGTACCATAATTTTTTGATCCAATCGTCTACTGATGGGCATTTAGGTTGTTTCCAACACTTGGCTATTAATTTGATAAACTTAGTTTAAATTCTATACATCATACAGAGGTAGAATTATTCATAATTCACCTGCTCTGTTTTGCTTTGTGTCATTTAATATTTATTTGCATTCAGTGTTTCTCCATTTGGTGTTCCACTTGTTATCTCCAACTCAGTGTGATGAAATCATTGAACTTTTATGGGACCTTCAAGAGAAGTGAAGGCCTCCAACTAATTAGAGGTACAATCTACAACTTTGGATTCTCACAGTCCTCGTGCTTTTCTGGCCCCCTCCTCTTCCACTTCCCAGATTTTTCATCGGTCCAATTCTCTGTTTGTCCTCATGGTAGCACCATACTCTTGGTTTCTGAATTTTTGGGCTCAGGCCTTTGAGCACTCTCCTTCTCTATCATCATCATCAACGACCCTACCCTAGCCCTGGTTGCTGTCTCTTATCCAAAGCTACCAATTTCGGATATGAGGGCGATCTGCCTGCGACATCTTTTACCCCACTGATCACCAGGGTTGATTCGGCGGATCTGGCTGGCTGCGCAGGTGTCCCGTCCTACCTCATTGATCCATTTGCGTCCCTCCGGAAGCTGCGCGCTCGGTGGAAGAGGATGACCTTTCAAATTAGAGGAGAGGACCGGCCTTCTGACAACGGTATACAAGTAGCTGCGCTCCCCTTCTAGAACCTCCAAACAAGCTCTCAAAGCTACCAATTTCTGTTAATTCCTTATAACAGTGATCCCTGAGCCTTTTTGCACAAGGAACCGGTTTCTTGGAAGACAATTTTTCCACAGACCTTGGAAGCGGTATGGTTTTGGGGATGATTTAAGCACATTACATTCAAGCTCACCTCCTGCTGTGCAGTCCGGTTCCTAATAGGCGGTTCCTAATAGGTACCGGTCTGGTCTGCGGCCCAGAGATTGGGAAATCCTGCCTTTTAAGTTAGCTTTTTGTTCTGCCATTACAGGCCTCCTGTTTTCACTACCACACTTTCTTGTGTTATTCTTACCCTAAATCACTCCATATGATCTGTGAGAATTCAAAAGTACGTAAATAATAGCAGTGAATTACAACAGTCTCTCACATTCTGAGCATTTTTGTTGCCTCATAATAAATACTTCCTGGCTTAACTTTTCTTCTATATGTACTGCATGTGATGACACACTGACCTTAGTAAAACATACCATACCACAACCATCCCCAGGACCCCAAATATCTCCCCATTTCCTTTAGCAACAAATATAAAGTAAAATCTCTCTATAGATTAGGGCTTTGATAGAATTAATTTTATTTCTGTGCTGCACACCTTCCCTCTGCTCCATCAGGCCAACAATATTGCCTCGCTTTTCTTTCTCTGCCAGTGTTGAACACTTCCTGCTTGGAAAAGCTCCATTTCCCATTCCCTAGGCCAGGCCTTTTCTCTCTTTTTACCTTGGAGGAGTCCTTGAAATAATTTTCACGTCTCAAATCTGTGCAAATACACACACACACAAACCCGATTAGCAAGTTGTAGACATAATGACTCAATAATAATTGCCAATGCTTTTTTTTAACTGATAAACTACATGTAACATAAACTTTACCATATTAGTCGTGTTTAAGTGTATAGTTCAGAGGTTCACATTGTTGTGCAACTCAGTGTTCTTTTGAGCAGAGATTGTAGAATTGTATACCTAAAGCTATATAATTTTGTTAACCAATATTTCCGCAATAAATTCAGTAAAAAATATTTAAAAATTTAAAAAAGAACTTTTTCTGTGAATCTGTTTATTGTTGTTCTATTTATTAGCCTACTCTGTAGTTTTTCTGTCCTCACAAAGGATAGCAATTCTGATGCAAATTAAGTAAGAGAGGAAACTTCAATTTTTCCTTTGATTTAGTAAAGGTTGCAAAATGATTTTAGTGAGTGTTAATCTCTCTTTATAGGCCTATGTATGCATAAAAGTGTTATTTTTAACTAAAAATAACAAAATTTTCCCATTTAGTAAGAAATCTTTGCTGGTCTTTTGCTGTGTGTATTCTCCGTTCTGAGTCGATCTTAAGACTGGCATACACAGATTTCATTTGCAACCAAAATGAGGTGGTTTCTGTATTTGTTCTTAATACTCATTAGATAATAAAAACCTTGCTCACACAAGACATTGAAAAGTACAGTAAATGTTTATTACTTTCCTGTAAATGGCAGGATGCTCTTCTTTCTCAGAAATCCAGAACTTGTACAAGTGCAAACCAGTAAATTTCATCTTATGTTTATAATTATTGACTCACAAAGTTGTTCCTCTTTTCTCAAAGTAAGGTGCTCAGGCTAAAAAGATTCAAAGAAAGGAGCCCTCATTCAGACATAAACTTGTGTTGAAAGGGAGGGAAAATACTGTTCAGTTTGTTCTGCAATTTTCCCAGATGACTAGGTTTCAACTTGAGACTTCATCATTCTCAAGTGCAAGCAGCAGTGGAAATATTTCAAGATTTCTTTTTGCCATATGATTTCCCCAAAGATTTAATATCTATTTAAAACCAAGAATCTTCTCACTTGAAATAAAAATATTTTCTCCAGGCCCTTGAAGATACCTGTTCAACTAGTTCATGTGATAAAAAAAAATGTATACTAAGTAGGCTAAGTTTCTGCAGCCATTCTTGATCTTTAGAGCATTTGTCCAAATCTAACCTACTATTTTCTTGAAAGTATTCCCACAGTTCACTTTTTAGCTTAAACACCCTTTTAAGAACCAAAATCTGTATTAGTTTCTCTTACTGTGTAACAAATTACCCCAACACTTAGCAGCTTAAAACAATAAACATTTTCTTTCATAATCTGTAGGTGAGAAATTCTGGAGGAGCTTAGCTTGGTGGTTCTTGTTTAGGGTCTCTTGTAGCAATCAAAATGTTGACTGGGGCTACAGTCATCTGAAGGCACAACTGGAGATGGAAGATCAGTTTCTGAGGTGGTTCATTCAGGTGCCTAGCAAGCCAATGCTGTCTCTTGCCAAGAGGACTCGGTTCCTTGCCACATGGGCCTGTTTACAGAGAGCTTAAGCATTCTCATGACATGGCAGCTGGCTTTCCCAAGGATGAATGATTTCCTAATCCAAAAGATTTTATGCATTTGGCAGTAAAGTTATGTGGTCTTTGTCCAGGTTTCCCCATAGTATTTTAAACATTCTTGAGCGAACTGGCCTTTGATGAGTTTCACCATTTTTGTAGCGCCACTCAGAAATTTTTTCATAGCAGCTCCAAAAATGTCTGTCACACCAGCACTTCTCTCGGAGAAAAACAGTATGTTGTGAATACATCAGGATTTTCCTTTTCTCAGGGAGCAATGCTGAAATCATTGATGGAGTACCATCAATGGAAGAAGATACCAACACACTTCCTCCAAAATGTACCTTTTCTTTCCAATCTGAACACAAAACAGTTCATGTATCTTGGCCTTTGTGTGGGACAGCATTTTATTATAGTGGAAAAATTTTCTTGAATGTCACCACAATTTACATATCTTGTGAATGCTATCATATGACATTTGTTATTGAAATCTGTTGATCCATCAGTGTAGATAAAAAGTTGGGGTTTTTTTGTTTTATTACACAAAATCTCTTCAGCATGATGTGACATGTCATCAATTACATCAATTTATCGAACTTCAAGGGAAACTTTATTTTCTTATGTATTATTCTAGCATTTTACTCAATTTACATACTAGAATTGTGAGGTTCTTACAAACTATGGGAATTTTTCCTTTTTTAATCAAAAAATTCTACTGAATAACTTACCTTTTGGACTTTCTTAGTGAAGGTGACTTCTTTTTTCTCAAACAAATTTTACTATGGGATTTCAAAGGCCATTTAAAGTTATTTGCTCCTTTAATATGATTTGTAGTTGCCTTCTCAAGTTTGCTGGAGCCATTGCTGCATTTGTAAGTTC